TGTTCCTGGCCCAGAAACTGAAAAAAAAATTTCTTCGCTGAAACTTGGTCTATAGATGTTGTTCCATGTCTTGATCACGAATATGACATCATTTCTTCCGCTGGCGCCATTTGCCGCCAATAGTCGCCAACAATTTTCTCACTGGGCCATGAGCCTGGGGCATTTGTTTTTTGACCGCTGACGCTATTAGGCGCCAATTTGGCGCTACACCTTTTCTTCCCAAAATCGATAAAAACTTGTGGGGTTGTTTGATACCTGATCGTGAGAATGACATTCATTTCTCCATACTAGTAGTTAGGTGGTAGCGTTCATGGTTTGCATGGCTGAACCTGGGGAAAGGAGTGGTTCCCTTCAGGCCAGGCTCACAGGAGAGGTCTTTCAGGTCGTGGCGCGCTTTTTGAAAATGGTTTGTTGCTTGTTGTAGGGGTCCATACAAGGATCACAAAAATCGGTTTCATTTTTGCTATGCATTTCTGGGGAGGTTAAAAACTGAGTGGAAAAGAATTTGACGGGAATGGGCGATTTTACCTATCTTAATGGGCTGCGTTCTGATTATAACTTCAAGCATGCACAGTTTATGAGGTGCTCGTTAATTGAGCTTTAAATGTAGTTTCGAATACAATCAAACTGTAAGTATCATGTAGTCACACACTTGGCATGCACCGACGCATCAGTGATGTTTTTGTCACCGGTCAGCTCAAACTCACAATTGGTGGATCGGATGGTGCAGCGGATAGTTCGATGGACTCTGGATGGCACGACGTTACGGAAATTTATGGATCGGATCCTCTTTGTGGTAAGTATTTTGCATTTCTCAGCTTTCTATTCATTCGCGTTCCTGCGTGTCTAGCAATAGAAATAATCGAAGTATATTCCATTTTGAAGGCATTTTCTTCATTCTGACACTTTACAAACCAGCTCGGTTGTGTGGAGAAGCCTGTTTCCGGGAATGTTCACGTCTCTTTACGTTGACCTTTCCCTTAAACATAGATAGACTAATCTAACAACTGTGGTAGAGTTCAAAAAAACATGTGAAGTATATGCATCTATTGATATCCATATGCATCATCAGAATGAATAATGTGCCTTCAAATGGCATATACTTGGCGTATTTTTACTGCTAGACACACACGAACGCGAATGAATAGCAAGCCGAAAATGCAAAAAATCCGCCGCAAGCAGCATCCGATCCACAAAGTCCCTGTATCGTCGTGCCATCCAGAATCCATCGAGTTATCCGCTGCGCCATCCGATCCGCCAACATTGAGCATGAGGGGACCGCTGACAAAAACAACACTTTTGCGTATTTGCTTGCCAAGTGTGTTACCATATTTTGTCTTCATTCAGAACAACTTCTGACGCCTAATTAACGAGCACCTCATAAACTGTGCATGCTTGAAGTTACAATCAGAACGCTGCCCATTAAGGTAATTAAAATCGCTCATTCTCGTCAAATTCTTTTCACTCAGTTGTTCTCACTCATACCTCCCCAGAATATACCATAAGCGAAAATAGAAAACCCATTTTTGTGCATGCTTAGTATAGACCCCATACAACCAAGACAACAAAACCCATATTCCAAAAAGAACCCAGCCACGACCTTGAAAAGAACCTTGCTTTCCAGATCCTTAGCAGAGCGTAAGAATTAGAACCATAGAATGATCCCACGTTAGCCGCCAGAGCGCAAAGAATGAATGTCATATATCCGTAAACAGGATATCGAATAGCCCTCGTACACAAGTTTTCATCGATTTTGGTGGTTTAAGGTGTTTTGGCGTCGGGCGCCAGGCGGTCTTGGCTCAAGCGGATGTGATATTCGTGTTCAGGGGTCAAACTACCAGCGACAAGTTTTCAGTGAATTTGGTGATTCAAGAGTACTTTTAGGCGCGCGGGCGCCAGGACGTTTCGGAGTGAAGCGGGTGTTACATTCGTGTTCAGGAGGTTGGCGTACCCCAATACGAGCCAATTTTCAGCCAAATCTGCCCTGGTAGAAAAAAGTCGGTAAAAAGCCGTCCTGATTTCAGCAGATTTGGGCGTTGCGAGTAGTTCAATAGTGCCAAAAACCGCTCTTATTGAGGCATCCTCAAATGAAGTTAAAGGGACGCAAGGTCCTACAACGAAGTGGAATACTTGCGCCGTAAAACCCGTCCGGCATTATTTTCCGGCTGTAGGTTTAGGGACACATTAGAGGTTCGAAAGGCAAAGAGTGCATGCAGCCAAAATGGCTCATATACGTTTTTGTAACCAAACATCAGTTTATCCTTTGATTATTTATTCAGCAAGAACCCATAAGGATCACTATGCCAATCAACAGTTCCAAACACCACGGTTCTACATGTTCATAGCCGCATACGTCTTCAGACTTCACAGGTCTCGGTAATCATCAAATGATCGACTCTAGATTTCGATATCTCATTCTATTATTAGAAGCACCGCATTATTTAACAAAACGGTGGCTGCAGAATGTGGCTCTCACCAAGACGACATCCGCACTCAGTGGGAATATATTCGTGTTCATCGTTGCGGGACCGCCGCACCATACTACTACCATAGTGTTGGGTTACGAAATAGTGTGGGGTACGTTTCCGCTGCCGGTCAAGTGTTGCTACTCCAGTTAACACGATTGCAGGAATTCTACTCCTCGTTGTACTCACACCGTTGGATTCCCAGTGCTATAGTCGATTCTCTTCAGTTTTACATTCTTTACTCTACATTGGTGCAATATCGCATTCTGGCGACGGGGACTACGCACGCGCTTTACAGGACATTGCCTTTTATTTGAAACTTCCTGTCCTATAGATCAAATTGTGGAGGTGGTTACTCCTGTCGAGAATCCAAGGGCTATGCGATTTATTATCTTTCTTAATCCGATTTGATTTCGGGACTCCTTTTTCCTAGAAAGTTCAACATTTGAAGTGTTTTTCTTACAACATATCATACTGCTCTAGGATAGGTATAGTCTATGCAAGTCTTGTGATGGGTGAAGTTCACTACGCGTGCAGATTTTTCACTATAATAGGATTTATCGAATGTAGGAAAGGATACAGGTCATCTATCAATGCCCGAGATTCCATAAGGGCAAGACGAATCTGATTTGCCAGCAGTTTCTGCAAAAACTGTCTGATTTCCGTAAATTCTGTTGATGGGGTGTCATGCTCACTAATTCATATTCCGAGATGTATTGCAGATGATGTCGTCACAACGCGAGGTGTATCGCTGCATTATAAGTAAAAGAGGAATGCTCCGAAGAAATTTGTACTCGCATCTAAGAACTGTACACAAATTTACGGAAGAAGAAGTCGGGTCTGTAAAGGAAATATCCGCATAGAAGCCAACTTAAGAAGCGAGACAGCCCATGTCAGTTGTCCGCTTTGCGAGGAAAAATTTATGGACGGCGAAGAGCTGGATTATACCGCGTACGAATTGGCGTTCTATTCAGAGAGGCCGAGTTTGAGGTACTGAAACAACATCCTGACACTATCTAATTTTGCTTAGCGCTGGATTAAAACCATAACATTTCTTAAAAAGCCTGAACAGTTGCTAAATAACTTATCCCTTTCAGTGCCAAGGCCTAGAAATCTAGGTAGCAAAATTTCAGGACGCTGCCGCTCAATGAAACGTGCCAAAAAGACGCGTTAATTCTCTGTCTCACAAGAAAAGCAAGACTTGCAATAATCAGTATTATAAGTTAGCACTCATCTCACTCGATTGTGATAGGTACTATGACATGTTTCCTACAGATGTAATCGTGCTGGGAAATTCACAAATATTAAAAGCGACACCCACGCCTCTCATAGTAGGGAGAAAGAACTCCAATGCTCCTGCTACGTGCGTGCTCGTTCATATGCGGACGGGGCACGATTGCAGTCAAAACGTGCTTTGGCCATGCAAGTCACGAGGTTTGACCTGCACTTTTACGTCTATCGACTGTACAAAAGGAGTTTCTCAAAATATGTTGGAAGGTAAAGCAGTAGCGACCCTGGATCCCCCAACCAAGAGTACATTTTATGGAGAGCATTCGTCGGACTATGTCATTCGGCAATGCAGGAAAGATTCTCGGCGAAAGACTCACGGTTCGCACTTCATCACGAAAATTGACCTGTGGAACATCATCGCGAAACATGGACTCAGACCTGGTTTTCGCGACGAAATCGATCTCAACTCTCTGCAACTGCAAGCAGCTGAGTAGAACCTAAATGATGTATTTGCGTTCCGCAAATGCCCGCCGATCGCAGTGTAAAGGGAGTTAGATTGAGACTGAGAGATGAGATTATGCTTTTACTCGATTCGGAGAAAATGCATCTCCTTGCGTGTTTCAATGATAATCACTTCATTACAATTGCAATGGCTGAAGGCGTACTCTGTCGTGGCATATCTGTTGATGATACACACGGCGCGACATGATACAACTTAAAATTAGCGACACTGGTGTTGACGATGAAAGGGGCAGAGGGCTTCCCGCAGGTCAGTTTCGGTGAGAATCAGAGTTAAGGATGAAATGCCGAGTTGAATTTTCAGCCTTTCTACTGTCTGGAACTATGACGGCGTTGGATGTGGAGAAGCTATTCGAACAAGTCAAAAAACAAATGCCTGAACCCCAATATCATTGTTACTGATAAAGCTTTGTTCTTCTATAAGGGATTCCAGGCAGTGTTTCCATCGTCGACAGCGAGGCTAAACTATTGCCGATAGCACATACGTAAGACTTGGGAAAGGAAAGTGAAAGAACTCGTCGAGGTAGGACTTGTTGTCAATTTTGACAGTCCTATTTGGCGCATGCTTTCATGAAAACTTTCTAGCCTCACCATCGAGAGCGCATTAATAGTGATCTGAAGCAACTCCTTCTTATTGGACAGCTCAATACTTTTCAATTGAAGTTCGGACACCTTTTGGCCTACTTGTACGTCGAAAAACAGGACAAAATGGCGCAGTACCTGCGAACCAACTACCTAGGCAAGTCCCATCATTCTGTTGAATTCTGGTGATAATTTTCAGCTTTTATGGGCAGAGTGATTAGCAGGATACCTTTCGGCATCGAGGGAACCATAATGGACACACCTACGCTAAGTGAGCGCTGGCACCTCCGCTTGAAGAATGAAGTCCTTCACAGGAATGCGAACTCGCGAGCCGATTGCTTAGTGGAGTTGTTGATAAGAGCTGTAGAGGATCTGGCCCATTATAACGAAATCAAGGTGGGCTTCATGTGCAGTTGTTGGCAGTAGTTGAGATGTAAAAACACATTTAGGATCGGCGTCGGCAAGTCGTGGGCAAGATTGCAAGTTTTCGGACGCAACAAACATCCAAACAGCATCCTTCAGCACTGCAATTGTATAAGAGAAATCCACAGAAGATATCCGAGACTAGCAGTATTACATGGGATATTGAAGGGAAAAAAACCAGAGGAGAAGTTCCTGGTTCAGTACAAAGGGAGATGTACCTGCTCACCTAACTCAGAATGTGCACTGTCCTTTGTGCGGAGTGTGCCCTTATACGTGGCTATGCAGTTGTCTGGAAAACAGAGCCGGTATTCCCTGTGTTCATTGGCATGCGGTAAAAATTGTTAAAGGCCCAGCTGTTTCTGAAGAAGAACCTTCGTCTCATCTAGTAACTCAAGGCTCTGAGGATACCCCACCATCAACATCTGAAGGAGTAGCTGAATTCACAGAGCCGGCTGGAAACAATGAAAACAATCAGGAATGAGATCGAGCTAGTAAGTGCTTTCATAAGTGCAGTATTGGAGTGGAATGGCTACGAATAGTTTTTTAGGCATTCTCAGTTGTCAGCACGAATGTGAGTAGACTGGTCAACACAGAAATGAGGCTTTGTCAAGTCTTTGCGATATTCGTGACCTTATCACTGCGGCACCAAAAATAGTGGTGGTATCGAGCTCAGTGAGACCTGAGATTGCTGCATGTCCTGAACTTACAAGGCCCGAAGAAAACCGCTTCTCCAAAAAACGACACTCTACACGGTGAGATGGTATCGATTATGCATTAGAGTCAGCGTTACTGTGATCGAAAGAAGCACCCATTTCAGAGATCAGAGCAAAGAAAACAGCGCGACATGGACAAAAAGGATGATAAGTAGAGAGGAAATTTTAAAGTGTGAGTGGATTACCAGTACATTGGTTAAACTTTTCATAAGCGATTATTGAGATTATTGCTTTCAGGTAATTGAACTGAACGGACCACAACACAGGGTAGAAAACTGGCTTCCGTTGCATGGATTATGATTCCCTCTTGATAGTATTTTGTTTTTCCTTGACTGCTCTAATGTTAGATGTTGTGGATTACTGTCATGCCCTGAGCGCAAGTAGAGAAATAAATAGTTGAAGTTGAAAGGGTGGATGAAAGCATCTTACCAACAAGCATTCGGTAGTATTAAAGACACATGGTACGCTCAAACACATTGAGGGTGTATGAGACTATCAGCCCCCAGCTGTCGATGTGTCGTGGTCCCCCGCCCAAAACTGCACGGGGTCAGAGTACGGGGCCGTGGGAAAGTCGTAATTCCTTGCTACGCCGCCCGTTTTTGCAAACTCACGTTTTTACTAACACCGTCCGCGCGGCGCGGTCGCGTGCAGCTCTCTTGGCTTTTTGCCAAGTCCTGTAATTGCGCTTTGGAATACAAGTACAACGCAATTTTTTGCGGATAACATTTTAGGTTCTGCAAAATAAGAACTGAAGATGATGACGAGGGCTAGAACTCAAGAGCAACTGTGCTGCTTCTGCAACAGCCCTCGCAGGCCGCGCATTCCCACAAAACATCAAAATAAAAACGGCCTAAGCGTCCCACTCGTTAGTTTGAAGTATTTTATGTGATTTCTAAGTTTGTGCTCTCCTCAGTATGCGAGCTCAACTTACGGCCTAGTATGTCGGTCGCCACACCAACACAATTAATTTTTGAATCAATCGAATTAATTTGAAATCATCTATAAAACGTTTGGCAGGTGACACTTTCCCCAGAATATTTATACATACAAATTAAATACATATTCAGAGGCGAGACCTCCGTTGCAGTTGAACGGTAACAGACTTCGGAGCGAATGTCATCGAACCTGTGAGGGACAAGGCCTCCTGAAACGAAAAACTTTTATGTTCCGCCATTTTCGGAAGAAAACTCTTGACAAGTAAAGCAGTAAGCACCTCAGTATCACAAGTTGCAACGATATTGTATCGTTGGAGGAGATGAGCGAGCACTAGCTTTTCCTCCATCAGAGCAAGCCGCATTCCTATGCACTGCCTTGGGCCGAGGCCAAATGACAGGAATGCAGCCGATGGACGATCGGACTGCTCAAGCCATCTGGAAATAGAATTTTGGAAGCACCTGCTGCTGGAAAGCCTCTGATGCAGCTAAGAACATCTGCTCCGCTTATGGAGTAAGGAATCCTAGATAGTTCATAGTGTTAAAAACAGACAGTTCTTCGTCGGCTCTGTTTCTAGTAGTGGGCTTCTGATTCTGATTAACTATACGTAGGAACCGCAAGTCAAAAATTTACTCCTTCCCAGCTCCAGTCTAGCTCCAGATTTCGACAACGAAAGGGGGGGGGCTGTCTGATGGGCTGGAACGTACAGATGGAGCGTAACAGTAGCTACGAGGGCCGTTCAAAGTATTCTCGGTACCGGGGTAATTTAGCGGCGACGAAGGGATTTAAACTACTTCATGAGGTAAGAGCACTTCCTGAGGGTACATATAATAGATATAGTTATCATCAATGCTATTCTAGTTTCCCTTGGTGGACGAAGACCAGAATGACTGATTCGCCAATGTTGAGAAAGTTAGTACTGATTGAAAAAATCGAGAAAATGAGAAAAAAACTAATGAAAAGGAAATCGATAAATGATTAGTGAATTTTTTTTTCTTGTTCCCGACCCTAAAAAAAGATCTTCGTGGAAAGCGTTTTCTGACGATGAAGAGCTGAAGGCGCCAATCAAAGCACATTTTGGGTACAAGCAAGAAAAGTATTTTTCAGAGGTTATTGAAAGTTAGTTTTCTTGACAAACAAGTGTATTGAGGTTATGGGGGACTACACTGGAAAACAAATTTTATTCAGAATTTCCCTGCCTTTCCCTCCATACCAATACCGGAAATACATTGAACACCCTCGTAATAGTCAGGTCACGAGATGGCTTACAAAAGCTCCATGTAGGTCAGTTGCTAAAGAACTGGTGTTGTCCAGCAGGGTCAAACTCGCCGGGAAAGGTGGCGTCACCCTACTGTAAGAGATCGCTCGATCCCTCATTGGAAAAATCATCACCGTCAGACTCGCTACCCAAGTGGTCGATGGTCAATTGGTGTAGAATCAGTAATCTCTTGAATTCACGCCTCTCGAATGTCTTTTGTCGGAACGTCGTTGTACCATGTGTGCTGTGCAGAACTCGATAAGGACGAGAACTTCCAAGGCTCAGAAACTACATGATAAAGACATGCTGTACTGAACTAGAGACGGACCCTTGTCACATGCCAGGTAACCAGGTCTGCAGCTGTCGAATGGTGCGCTTCATAAGTTTCCACGCCCAGAAATGAGTGGAAGGGAAGCTCGATTTCGCATGTGCTCACTACTTGTCTTCCAAATTGGAGAATAAGCGATCCACCTAGGGCAACGAGGATGGTATTTTGTATAAGCGACTAAAAACTAAACTTATGGCAGGTTATGACGGAGAATAAGGGCACATCATCGTCTGGGATCCCCCAACAAGGTGGAGTCGTATTTGGTCTGCGAAATTTTTTTGATAATAGATTTTTCTCGCTTTACGGACGCTCGACGGCAAAATCTTGTGGAAAAAGTAAAAAAAGGAAATTTTTGGGAAATTCAGAAAAAAAACTGGTAAGAAGTTGAGAAGTTAGGGAAATGAGAAAGGGGTAGGTAGGATGTGAGGAGGTGTAGTATTCTGCTCGCGAGTTTTCCCGTTTGTGGCGCACGATATACTCCATTTGCTTTCTTTCGAGCATTCGCTTTTACGTGAGGATTTTACACGCATAGAGCTGTCGCAAAAAGTATCTGTCAAGTACTTTCTTTATGATTTTTGTAATCAATGTACTGGGAGGGGCAGGTAAGCGAAAGTGCCTACGCCTCATTTTGGTAGTCTGAACACAGTTGTTGTGACGGTGCATATGTAAAAGCAGAGAATGGCGTATCTACTGTCGGCTGCTCCCATCCGTTTCCGTCTGTGGTTGAGACAATTCTGCTGCCCTAACTCGACAACACTTACCTTTCCGGTCGGAAATCATCAGCATCGTCCCCCCAAAGTTCTCGATTGAAGTGGATTGTGAGAGTATCGGCGCATACATTTTCGCCCTCTTGGATTCGAACTCCTCCAAGAGTAGTAGCTTTCATACAACGACGAGAATTGCGCTGAAAGTAGAGTAGGCATCTCAGTTCTTACATAGTTGCTAACGGATACATTCGCAGAGTTTCCTTGATAACGGCGTCCAGGTATCTCAGGCTTGTCAAGGTTTCAAAGCTGATCGACTGAAAAAACACTCGGGCTATGCCCTTGCGTATCGCAAATGTAGGTGGATCTCGCAGAAGGAATCGTGCAGGCGCAGTTCGGCTTGGGGTATCTCTTCCTGGCCATTTCACAAGATTCCACAGCTCTCCACTTGATGGCTCGACGCGTCGAAGGGAAGTAGCAAAAAAAAACGAAATACTCCCCCCCCCCTCCAAGCCGAACCATGCAGCAGTGCACTCTGTTAGAGCTCAGAATCGTGAAGGTACTCCCATTAGTGAGCTCCACCCTCTGACTCGACACAATGTAGTAATTCTACGTCAAAAGTTTGACCTAGGTGAAACTGTCGCTTTACAACGGCGTAAAGGCATCGTCTCAGTAAAGCTGTGAGGGTACGAGCGCCCCTGGTGGCGCAACGGATACGTAGTCCGGTACGTAAGGCTGCGTTTATACTTTGCGGCAGCGTAGCGTAGCGCTTCCAGCGTACGCCAGCGGCAGTGCCGGGGAGAGGATGCATATCGATCTAGCGTTCCCAGCGTCACCAGCGTCACGCTAGCGTTACGCCAGCGTTTCTCCAGCGTTTCACCAGCGTTTTGCTAGCGTTTGCAGCGGC